TGGGATGACGTCTTCGTGACGCCGGAGTCTGCGCGGCAAGCGGCGAGGACTTTCCTGCTTCGCCTCGACGAGTGGAATGGGCGGCGATGGTACCCGCGCAGCTTGCAGTTGAAGCGGGCTCAGACGCATCGGAATCGGGGTTCGGGGGTACAATCAAGATCCCAGGAAAGGAAAAATTGACGGTAGCCGGGGCCCTCTCCGACGAGGAGAAGCGCATGTCCAGCACCGCGCGCGAGATGGTCGCGTTTCTCCGGGTGCTGTCAGAGGCGCGCGCGCGCGCGGGGAACGCGCTCAAGGGTTCGGCGGTCCTCCTTTTGGGAGACAACCAGGGTGCTGTAAGGGCTGTGAACGCCATGAACAGCCGGGCGCCGGACGTGAACGAGGCGTTGAGGCAGCTCTTCGAGCTGTGCGTCGAGGCGGATTTTGACGTCATCGCCCAATGGCGGCCGCGGGCGGAGATGCAGGAAGAAGACGATTTGAGCAAGCATCAGGACAGCTCAGATTGGGGGCTTGGGGAAACGGAGGTGCGCAAGGTCCTGATCCACTTCGGGGTAAAGCCGGCGATCGACCTATTCGCTTCGGAAACGTGGCATATCACGGAGCGGTTCGTGAGCCTGCACTTGGCGCCGGTGGGCCTGGCAGCAGACGCTATGCGGTCCGACTGGAGCGAGCTGCTGGCGCCGGGCGACGTGGCATGGGTCTTTCCCCCCGTGCGGCTGCTGAGTGACGTCATCCAGTCGGTTCGGCGGTTCCGGACGGACTGCATCCTCGTCGTACCAGAAGCGCCGGCCACCAACTGGTGGATGGCGCTCCAGAACATTGGCGCGGAGGCCTGCTTGTCGGGCCCATTGGAGTTGCCGCGCAGCGCAAGCATTTGTGCGCCCAGTTTCAGAGTTTCACAAGGAACTGTAAACCCAGCGATGTACAAGCTGAGAGCATTCGGCATCAGGTGGTAGACATTGCATAGCGCAGGCATGAGGCACGGGTGTGCAGGACTGGGTCATGACATTGATATGTAAACAATTCTGTTCAACGCCGCTGCCAAACCTCTTCCACGTATACTTTGAAAGCAGAGTAACTTTTCTACCGTCCTAATTCCATCAACTGCTTCACATTGTAATTCAAATTAACGGCGGCGTGCTGAACCGCCGACCTCCAAAAACTATGCAGAGTTTCTCCCTCGAAGAGACCAGCTTGTTGCAGGCGCCGCTGGATCCGTTTTCGCAGGCACGCACTGGAGATCGGCCCGGGAGAGAAGCCTGTTCGCTGGCGGTTCTGGGCGCGGAACAGGTAACCATCGGTCGCGTGATCCCCGATTAGCTCCAAACCCTTCACTAACCGGGCTGTAGCTTCTACGAAAGTGAGGCGGGAAGACGCCGCTGGCTGGGCGAGGGGAATCCGTGCGCTGGGCTCCTGCCTGACTGTTTTGCTCCAACCAGGATAGGCCGCAGGAGTCGCCCCTCCTTCCACCTGGTCGGCGCTTAGAGCTCCGCACTCTTTCCCCCGCGCTAACGACTCCCAGAGATACAAAACTGCGGCCTGATCCATCAGTAACGTACAAAGTTATAGAGCATCGGTTTCTGCTTGCAGGCGCTCCGACAAAAACCGCAAGAGAGCGTCCAGCTTCTTTTCCGAGAATACTTTCGCTCTCTGTACTTTAATCCCTTCGTCGTGCAGATACTTCTCGTACCCGTCTCGGAAGGACTTCACAGGTTCCGCCTTTGCAGGATTCTCGTGCCCGGGGAAACCGAGCAGCGTGTACGTCTTTGACAAGTCCTTAACAACACCCTTCACAGCTGATGCAGAAGCCACTGTCTGCCCCGTCGACGGCAGAACTGTTCGGCAGTTGCCGCTA